CTGACTCTTCTATTCCCAGTGCTGTGATGGGTTGGGCTACAGAATATGTGGCTTCTGTCTCTTGGTGGTTCCTTGGTTTCTATTTTTGTCTCTTACAACGAAACTCTTGAATCCTTTGCAACTGTCAGACTCCTCCTGCTCCCTCAGCTTTCTGTGGCCTGAGATAACAAATATAAATCTGCTGTGGTCGTTTTTACAGAACATCTCCATTGAACCATCTACATATTCCTGATGTTCCCAATCTCCTAGAAACAGGACATAACAGGAAATAAACCTAATGATTTCCTGAGCCAACATTATCTCTAAGGGATTCAGGTCTGGTCTTTTTCTCTCAAGATTTCTTCTTGGATCTCCTTCATTCCTTGAGCCAAACTAAACTCGTGGCCTGTTTCCTCCCCTGCCCTGGACAAGCTTTAGTGACATATGAACTTGTCCTGAGGATACAAGAACAATGTCTACTCACCCCAGATGATACACAAGTGACAGAAACAAAGACAAGACTCCAAACAAATGTAGCTGTTGATCCAATGAGATATATTAGGGTTCCTACGAATCATATGTTCAATCTTTTTTGGTTTTGGTGTTTTGCTTTTCTTTGGGTTTTTTAGTTGGTTTGGTTTATGTCTGTTTCATACAGGATCTCACTATATACCTCTGGGTGTCCTGGAACTCAATATGTACACCAGAAGAGATCAAGCAACCATTCCCACCTCCCAACAGATGAGAACAGTGTGGTCCTCTATGACAAGCAATATTGGAAATGTATCAGTAGTTATATCCCTGTAAAAAAGTTTACACTGTAACTTTTAGCTGTGTATACTTCTGATGGGTGAGGAGTGGCAACCATAGGGCAACCTGGGTCCTCAAAGTCCAGCCTGTGTAACGCATCCACAGAGATGCCATGCTGCTCACGTGGGCTACTAACAACCACTTGGCAGTCTAGGTCCTCAGAGTCCAGCTTGCCTCAAGCATCCATAGGCTGTCTGATGTCAAGTGCTCAGGTAGGTGAAAGACACCCACAGGGCAGCCTGGGACCTCATGGTCCAGCCTGCCTGAAGCACCTAATGTTCTCCCAGGACCAAGTGGATCAGGAGTTCCAAAGAACCCCACAGGTCACCCTGGGTCTTCATGGTGACACTATGATGATGAGCAAGTGTATGGTGGCAAAATGTGAAAGGAAGAGAGGAGGAGAGGTTCATGTGCTGTGGTGAGAGGCAGTTCTGAAGAAGTGAGAGCTGGGAGGAATGGGCAGATGCTTCTACCAGGGCTATGCTGATCTGGATACCCTGTCCCGACACCCAGGCCAGGATGATATTCAAGTCTGGAACCATGTCTGGTCTCTGGTCCTATCACAGTTGGGGTCTGTGTTGTCCATGACCCACAACGCCAGCAAAGACGACACAAATGCCCAGGGACTAGGCAACCTCCTGTGGCCATTTGGTATTCAAGGCCATGCTGCCACGGGGCCTATGGTATCATCTTCCCAGGGCTGCTGATGAGAACCATGTCTGGGTATGTAGCCTTACCACAGCCAGGGTCTGTGTTGATGACCATGGTTCCTGATACCATTCAAGGCAATGCTGATGTTAGGGTTCTGGGCTGCCACATGGAGCCATGTTGGTGTCTGAGGGGCACATTTCCACAGGGGCCATTTTCATCTGAGTAGCCTGTGCTACCACCTAGGGCAATAGTGACATCTGAGCCTGGGCTGCTGCTAAGGACAATGTCAGGGTTTGTGGTCTTATCTCAGTTGAGGTCTGTGTTGTCCATGGCCCGTGGTGCCACCAAAGGCCCAAAGGATGCCCAGGGTCAAGGCCACATCCTATGACCATGTTGGTGTCAAAGGGACATGCTTTGATGGGGCCAAGGTGTCACCTGGGCCAGTGCTGTTGCTGAGGACCATGTCTGGGTTTTGGTCCTACTGCAGCCAAATTCTAAGTTGATATCTGTGGCTCCTGACACCATCAAAAACAGTGCTGATACCAGGGGTCAAGTCCACCAGCAGTGGCCATGACTGATTCCTAGGGCCTTGCTGCTATTGGGACCATGTCAGTGCAAGTGGAGTGCACAGCCAGTTGGGAGAAGGCCTTGGCTGCTGATGTGGATCAGGAATGGGTTTGGGACCCAATAGCAACCAGGACATATGCTGTTGCTCACAGCTTGTGTTGCCACAGTGGGTCATAGGAACCAAGTGTTTTGAAATCCAATGCCATGCTGAACCAGCTCTGTCCCTCCCTATCCCTGCCACAGTTGGCCCTTTCTCTTGATGGACTCTGGAGATCTGGCACTGTCTCCCCATGGGAGAGCTGACTCTAGCATTTAGGAGAAATTGCCCCAACACTCACCACAGGCATGGCACACCTGACCTTAGTGGTATTGGCCAAGGGGTGTTGGCTCTGCCCCTTGCCTGAGTATGTGGACCCAATGTCCAAACCAACCAGCTCATCTTCCACTCACACCCACATTCTGGGCCCACCCTAACAGCTGTCGAATCCACGACTTTCTGAAGTGCATGAAGGGGCCTGGACTTGCCGAATGATCACCACAGGATCTGTATAACTCAGGCCACAAACAGGCTGTCCAAGAGAACTTTCTATGATGGCCCAATGATGAATGTGGACCAGAAACCAGAGGCTGAATTCAGACTCATTGCAATGAACCTAATGTTTGTGGGCTGACTGGACAAAAGGGGTGTACTGCATGACACACCACAGTTCCTGATACCACTAGGATGAATGAAGAGGTGTTGGAAAGATGGAGGAGTGAGGTGGGTGTTATGTTTGTTTTTAATTTATTTGGGAGAGCCTACTGCAGGAGTTGAGGGTGGATATGGAGGGACTGGGAGATGAGCAGAATTGGGGTCCATGATGAGAATCTTCCAAAGAATCAAAAAAGAATTATGTTTTAAGATAAATAAGTAAATTAGCAGAAACCTCACAAAGTGTGTGTGATATATACTGACTGGATCGAGAGTGCAATGTTTTGGGGGCATCATTGTATTTTCTCATTCTTTTAATTCTGTAATTGGAAATGAACTCACTATTTTCTGTTGTTGTTGGGTTAAGACAAATTTCTTCTTCATAATAACAACAACCCTCAACAAAAAAATATTGTTCACATAAAGCACAATGGAGATTTTAGTGGTTTATATTAAGGTAAAATATCACATGGGATTGAGGAAAATTAGAATATATAAAGAGGTGAGGACCCAAAACTCATTGGTGGGAAAATATGTTCCCCACATTATAGAATGAAAAGAAAGGAAGGAAAAATCTTCAAATCCACAGCAAGGTAGAATGGAAGACCTTTAATGTGGTGGTAGAGTAGCCAGGTGCCACAATATTCAGGCTTTTTCTGCACCAAAAATAAATTTATTTCCTGGATCATTTCTCACAACTGATGCCCAATATTAAACATGGAATCTTCTGGTAAACAACACCTGAAATCCTCAAATTTATTTCCCAGAGTTGGTCATGAGGATAGGACTATGGCTGTCTCTCTTCTTCACTTCCAGGATGCATTCAAGGACCTTCTCTGGCTGTGGCAAGCCTCAAACAGCACAATCCCAAGAACTATGAGGATCAAGCCAGCTATGACCATCCGGATGAGGTTCTCCACTGTGTGATCCAGGGACTTAGAGGCTGGAGATTGTGAACTGAGAGGTCAGGACCAACCAAAGCCACCATAAGATGACTGAATTTTCACTCTGACAGCTCCCTCCCGTCTAGTTCCATGCCCTAAGCAGATTCTGGTTTCATGCCATAAGCAAAATTTTCCTTCCTCATCTGACATGGCTTCTGACATATTTTGTGGTTGCTTATGGTCTCAGGCATCCCTGAGGAAAAAAAAAGATTTGTTGGGTGTGTGCAGTGCTCAAGAGAAGTGATGCTTTTTCTCAAGTTTCTTCTTTCATTTTCTACAAATTCACATTATTCTCATCACATAACATCATGAAAATGTAGAAAGAACTCTTTCTCTGCAGTAGCAGCTTCTTCCTTTCCTATGAATTGATTTCTTAGGCCTGACTTTGCTCTGAGTTCTAAACCACTGGGCAAGGCTCTTCCTTGAAACAGAGTTTATCTGATTACAGAGAGCTCAGATAGAAAAATGTCATTTCTGCCTTCACAGTAGAGGAGCCTTCCTGTACTCCCAGCCCAGTCTGTAGTATAGAAGCCAGGAAGATAATACCCCCAGGAAAATAACCTGCACTGACTCAAGAGCTGAGAACCAACATCTAGCCACATATTCTTATTCTCATGGTCCCCTGAATATCAGGTGATCAAAATAGTGACGGTCTGGGCTTCTCTTCCTGCACCACTCCACAAGGTTACTATGATGATTCTGTCCTAAATCATTAAAAAATAGTCCAGTATTAAGCATGTAAATATTTATTTTTTAATTAAATAATACTTGTATCTATATTGTAGAGGCTATATGGTCTCTAGAAGAGAAACCATTACTGCAATGTTCCTAACCAAATGTAATTTCTAACTTCATTCTAAATGCTTATCCATATACCCACTGGTAATTGTAGCTCTCACCCCTCATCTAAAACGCTTATTTCACAAGAGATGTGGGAAATCATAGAGATCCACAACTATCCAGAGAGTTACAGGCCTCTGACCACACATGAGGGTTATTTATTTAGTATCTGTAACATCTGAATGGCTCATTCTTGCTGGATCACAAAAGTCTTCAAAACTGGCCAAAATGGGAATAAGTGGAGTATGTGTTCCCAGTCCAGACACACACATTTTTGTTTTTCAAGACAGGGTTTCTCTGAGCAGCTCTTCTTGTCATGGAATTCACTTTGTATACCAGGTTGGCCTTGATCTCAGAGATCCATCTGTCTCTGCCTCCAAAGAGCTGGGATTAAAGGCATGTGCCACGACTTACTGGACATAATGCATACTTTTAAAACACAAATATTATACCTAAGATTTAAGAAACATTAAGGAACTCATCCATCTGGCTCTTGAAATACATTACATATCCCCTCCTGCTCTGAAAGTCCCAAGGCCTCTCATAGTCTGGGCCTTAGTAGTCAAGAGCTCCCTTCAGCAATTATGGTTTTGAACCCTCCTTGAGGTAGAAGGGCTTATGACAAAGGATTTCTGGTGTCAGTTGAGCGAATGAGGAGACTTCCTCACCTGAGAAATGTAGCTCCAAAGAGTCACTGGCCTCTGACCACACATGTGAGGTATTGGTATAGTATCCATAACATCTGAAGGCACCACTCTTGCTGGATGTCATGGAGATCTCAGGAAAAAAAGCTAAGTACTGTCCAGTATGTATGAGCAGTGACTTTTGTGACCTGGAGAACTTCAGTTCTTCCCCAGTCAAAATGAATGTATCGTATCCTTTGGAAGAGACACACTGAAGCGTCACATTCCCAACTGAAGTCACCACAGGGCAAGGAAAAGCTGACAGAATAGGTTTGCCATGGTGGACACCTAGAAAAACTGGACAGAGCCTGTTAATTGATACATTGTCTGCAGAAGCTGGGCTATGGCAGAAAATGTTTAGAGATGTATTTCGTGAGGGAAAATGTAGAGGGCACAATGTACTCATGCTCACAAATAATATGGGAGAAATCAGAAATGTTACTCATGTAGTGTGTCTGCTCAATGGAGGAGATAAATACCTGTTTTCTATTAAGAAAGCTAGGGATGGATCTTGTTAATACCTAGGTGACCTTTCTATCTATAGATCCAAACCTCACCTGAATCACTCAGGATGTTTATCACAGACTCTCCTCCCTAGACCTTTAACATTGGCATTCTGTTTATGAAGCTCATCCTTTGGGGAGATGTCACATATACTTTTTAGCCTGATGGCATTGGCATTACCTCAGTCAGAGACAACACCAGAACAAAGGCCCTTAAGATATAAAATCATTCTTCATGTTCAAATGTACTTTGAGTTGAGTTTTGATACAATTACGCCTACTTTTTCAAAGGGTTTCGATTACACCAGTAATCTATTTTTGCTGAATTGTTCTGTGTTTAAATTTGTTCTCAATAAGTGATCTGGTTTCAGACTTTTAAGATTGTGAACTGGCAACTTCTATGTCAGCCTGATCTGAGTTTCCCTTATAACTTCATGTGGTTCATTTTCCTGCAAGCGGCAGAGCTTTTAGGGTGAGAACTGTGACCCTTTGTGTCCACTCACCTGTCACCACCAGCTCCAGGGGGTCACTCTTCTCAGTCCTCCCAGCAGAGTTATAACAATAACAGTGATATCGTCCTGCATTATATGCTCTCAGGGATGGGATGAAAAATTTGACCCTGTGATCAGACACTGGTGCAGCCATTCTGGCCCAGGGTGCTGGGTTTCCTTCTTTATATAGGATATAT